CAGGGCGAGCAGACCTGCTCACCACCCTCGGCTTTGGGAATTTACACTTCTTTGGAAGGGCTGGGGCGAGGTTTATGCAACCACAAGTAAGTTCAGCTGTATAAAAGGTCTGTGATGTGCAGAGCTGGCACCGGCGGGGGCCCTAGAGAAGTGGCCTGGGGGAGGGGAGCCAGCCTGCTTCTCAAGAATACATCAAGCCCTTGAGGAAGCAGAGTGTGCCATGTTTGAAGATGCAAAGATAATCGCAGTGCTGGGAACCGTCTTGTGTAGCGGAGGAAGCCAAACAACAAGAGGAAAGCAGCATATGCTCCTGATTTCGCACAGGAAGCTAGCAGCACCTCCTGCCAAAGTAAGATAAGAAAACTCCCATGGCCTATTCTGGACAAGGCCATGGTTATCAACCTTAGCTTCACACTGTCCTCACTCTGCTCCGCAGCCCGCTCCCTTTCCTAATGAGTTTCAGAGCCCTCACCTCTATTAGCATATAGCATGCCAAGCACAATAGCGTGGTATATTTATAACTATTGAAGGGGAAAAGTTTCCAGGGTAAGAGTGTACTTCATGTCATCTTGATATATTTCACCGAAATCAAACTACAAACCGGCTCCAATCTAAAGTCCTGCCTATGAGACTACTCATCTCAGAAGAAAAGTGGTTTTGTTATCACCCCAGCAATTTATAACGGATCGCGGGAGCTGAGGTAAAGGATTTGTCTACTTACTCACAGGACAGATTTGACTCTCTGTATGATAGACAGTCCTAAATGTAAGCTCTAGATCCAGCTTGTGTCCAGACACGTCTTCTTCCCCATCCTGAAGACAGCTCTGCAATTTGCAGTTCAAGTAGTACAGTGGCAAATACCAGCGGAAGAGCCTTGACCCCCATATCAGTTGGAAAAATACTTGTCTTCTGTCTTGCCATCTTCTCCGCTCCTCCCTCCCAAACTCTCCTGTGTGACGCCAGAGGCCACTGCAATCTTTCCCTCCTGTAACATCCCACTCAATTCTCTAAACATTCCTCTTGGCAAAGGCACTGGCAGCCTCAATCACACTCTTGTTTACTGAGGTAGTATTTGGCAATCGCACCAGTGTTAGGAGCAAGAGGAAGACATCCTGTTACCAATGGTGACCATTTTTGAGAGTGA